CAACATATTTCTAAAGTCACTTACACTAAAAAACGGAATATCAGCCAATATCATGAAATTTCCAATTAGCGTTATTGATATCATATTACATTGTTCCCCTGTGAACAGATTACATATCAAAAGGCATTCATCTAGAAGTTGCATATAATTTCAACAGTCAATATCTATAGCCGCGTATTTAAATAAATATGTACTGGATAACATATCAAAATGTTAAAAAGGAAAAGCAACCCTACAGTCCTATCAATCTTATAAAAAAGGGGGGAAATAATTTTACAATCTAATTTGTCAAAACGCTTTGCAGCTACCGTGCTGAATAACTGAATCCTTCTATGTCGGCGGGAAAACAATCGTGCGATCGACGACACCTTAACATCTCAAAATTACAGGAGAAAACAATTTCACTCTAATTCACTTGGTTCAATATTTTTCATAAACCAGTATTTAATTGTTGAACTGTCTTGTTTTCTTCTTTATCTTTCTGTTGATTGCTTAACTAAAAATTATATGAGTAACCTTTCCAAATACAACAAATTGTAAGAAACGTGACCCAAAAAAATGTTTGAAACCGGACGTGGACACCCGTTAATGTCTTATAAGCTATTCAAAAGGGATTTTAATTATATATTACATTCAGTATGTCACGTTACTAGTAATTTGTTTTGGTAATTGACATATTTTCTTAAGGCGTTTTATCTCCTGTGTTTCCGCTATCGTGTAATGCTTCGTATAATAGTTATACACAAACTCACAATTTGCAACATTGCCTTTAAGTCATGTACTTTTCATTGATATTTTCTGAAATGCCCTTTGGTGTAAACAGTTAGATTTGTAGCATTATATTACTCAAATTGTTATGGTATGTGATAAACAGAAGTAATATACAAAAAGGTTTGTCCTTTTCTATTATTTTTTCTTGTTGCAAGGTATTATCCGAAATAACTTATTCAACTAGTGTTAGAGGATTTTCACTCACCGCCTTTTGACGTTATCTTTATATTTGGACATGGCTCTGTCTGTTGCTTCAGATATTCTTTTAAACTTCTTTCGCCAGTAATCGATGTATGTTTATTATGTGTTATCAGCTTACATCTAAAATAGATTTTTGACATTCACGTTATTCTTGATATATTCTTTTGATAGTTATGTATTCAAATCTTGATGATCAAGGGAAATCTTTTATACAACAACAGAAACATTTTCTTACTTGTTCATTATTTTTTGTAAATACACATAGGAACAGCTTCTTTCCATACTTTTGGTGTAGTATATATATATATACTGTTTAACGAAATAGAACGAATTTAGTGATCGTGACACAACGAAACTTATAGCAACATGTGTACTAGCAATTGGCAATCCAACGGATGCTACAAAAAGACCAGGACCTATATGCCCTTCCGGAGCACCTTATATCATCCCCGGTTTTTACTAGAGTTCTGTGTTCTGTATTTTGTTTTTTTATGCAGGAATTTGAAAAGTGTTGTCTGTTTTTTAATCGTTTTTTTCGAATTTTGCAATATAGCAATATGATGTTATAACGTCGCTATGGTATCTCGTGTTCCTTTGTTTATGAAAAAGTGTTTTTGATTTTTGTTCTATAGTTTTTATTGTCAAACACATATATACTTTGCCATTTTCAAACACTCGGCTCCAACATGAAAAGCTGGACACGGGTGTTTTCTATTTTTTTAGAGGAGATATGTTCTGACGTCATGTAGTAGTTTGTTTCTGTCTTCTCATTTTTACTTTGGCTACGACAAATTAATGCATTGTCATTACACAAGTACATTAGCCACATATAAAATTGGTAATATTTAAACTCTTATAAACCAAACCACAAACCCTTAAATTGCATGACAACTCGAAAACATTCATTTGAAACTACTAATAAGGATCTGCGTTTTTGTTGTAGCCTGGATTACGAAACGTCTTAATTTAGAAACGTCCAGTCTAATGATATCTGCGTTATATTCCAGATATCATTCTTGCATAAATGCATACTTATTTATATATTTCGCTTGCAATCGACTATCAAGACTCTTTTTTAATCAAAGATGCATGAGAAAAGTTTAAATCGAAAGCCTTGGATACAATATGTTATAAAAAACAAATGTAATGATACCCAAAACCGTTGGGTCATCTTTATATTGGTCACAGTGTCGGTTGAATCTGTATATTTCAAATGAGAATTACCCATAATTGTATGTACAGTTGTAAGCTGTGTCCTATGGAATTGTTAACATATTTTGCGTTTTTGTGACATAGTCCCTTCGGGCTTTGGTAGGCAATCAATACTAAAAAGGTGGAAGACATAGAGGTAGCAGAAAAGGTTGGTTGTATAAGGGGATTTATTTTCACTTACATTTTAGATATGTTTGTTTTGTCTTGACTAAAATATCAATAAATATCACGGAGGATTCAAACCTAATACTTATTGATAGATTTTGTTATTCGTCAATTATTAAATACTTTGTAACAAAACAAGTTTTAATTTACAAGCTAATTGTTATTTGTACTTAATTTTAGAGTTTGTTTTAAGAATAATGGTGTAATGTTCAAATTGTTAACCTCCAGTTAAACACGTTTTATGCAGGTCACGACAGGAATTATATAATGGGCGTTGTGTAACTAATCGGATGTACTATATTTATAGAACAAATTGTGCTACAAAGTACATGTTAACATCTCCATCGTTCACATATAACCGTTAATTTTAAAGACAAAAACGGCTGTAAATACACAATGATGGATTAATTAAAAGACTAAAATGCAAAAGAACGGTATTTAAACGTTTTGATGATGATATTAATGTAACGAATTTATCAATTGTTTCACCTGATTAACCTTTCATTTAAATGTAATTTAACGATAACAACTAATCAAAACCGCATAGTTATATAAACTAAACTTTTAAAAGTTTTCTTGAACTCGTGTAGAGCCTTGAAGTTTTACACAATTAATTCGCATAGTCGGTTATTCAAATGCTTAATATTCGATTATAATTTTTTTATACATTGACGTCAAAGTAATTGTCTGTCCATACAATCGAGACAAAGATTATATGTTTATCACCATACTAGTTTTTTTAAACTCATAAAGTTATGGCTACTTTTTATTAACATATTTGGAAAGTATATAAGACTAATTGTCATGGCCTGATTTTCTAATGTAATACCTAAATATGTGTGTGTCTTTTCCAGACAAAAGAATGAGGTATGATCAGAGCTATTATTTGACCCCTAAAAGTGTCAAAATTATAATGTTATTCATGCCTTTCAAAATTCTTTTAATTCTATTAATAACTGAATTTATTGCAGAAAGGTCACGTATGATGTTGTCACTATGACGTCATAAATATGTCATAAATTTGCGTGTTTGACCTAATAAGGCCATTTCTTTTATAGAATTTTGTCAAAAAATATATGAGCAACAGCTTTACTCTAACAGATATTTTACACACGTTAACATCATTGTAAAATATATTTTGTAGCAATATATATATTTGTGTAAATCTGTTAAAAATATTAATGACAATTACTCAACATTGGGTTTTTTTGGCATTGTTTGTTGTTTTAATTTGACCTAAATGTAAGATGTTCGAAGCCCTAATAACAATATGTAAGACAAAATATAAAGACTGATGTCTTAGGAACATCTGAGGGATGTTATTTGGTAGATTCATAATACTTTTTTTTTCAAATTAATAAATGCACTACTTGTTGGGATAGAGACTAAGGGTGTATAGAACAATGAAAATATAGAACTCCCAAGTACTAAACAATGTTATCGCGTAAAATTTGTTATTATTGAATAAGTGTGGAAATAAAGGCCATGCAGCAGAAATTGTCAGCTATATCTGATAATTTGACTAGTTTTCCCTTTTTCTAACAAATAAAGTACTTTGTTTAACATAATACAAATGATAGCAGGAATAGCCTCAAAATACCGGAGATTACAACAGACTATAAACACTACCACAACTTGAAAAAGCAGACATAGAAACACATTAAAACAAACAATGGACATGATGTACACAACATTTGTTCGTCATCAAAGTAAAAAAGATTACTACTTTGCACAAGACGTGGTAATAATGTAATATGCAATATCAACAGGAAAGCTATTAATCAAAAGAATAAACCCCTCAAATAATGTTAAAAATAGTCTTAATGGTTATATATATGCGTTATATTTGAAGTCAAATTGCCCCCGAAGCAAGTATGTTTCGAAGCTTTCTCATATGTGTAAACAACATATTGAACTATTCCAAGTTTTACCTTTTGATAGAGTTTACACTACATTACCTGTCAAATCATGATTATCATAAATCACATCAATAAATTGATAACCCTTTTAACTTCCGTCGCGACAGAAAGAAAATATGGCCATCTTAAAAATATCGAATCTAAAAATGTTGATGTCAATAACTCAAAATGTGATTACATATCAAATTAGAATAGGTGAATAAAGTCCATCGTTCCTGAGTAATATTGAATTCTTACAAAATATCAAGTGTTCTTTTGGTTCTGTTTAATATTCGGTAACAACTTATAAATTTACATAATTTGATATAAATGCCAATTTTATCTTTGTGCATGGCTGAATGCCAGATGTATTCTAGACTTATTTATCACTCGTGAGAGATTTTCTACATTCAAGATAACAATTTAAACTTTGAAGCAGACGACGACAATATGGCGATGATCGTTGCAGTAAACCCTGCATTCATAGCATATGTAAAACCTATCCATATCAATTTGGTCGTGCAGACTATTTAATCACATACAATTAATAAACAATAACCTTAAAGATATCCCAACATCAATATAGGTTTAAACTATACGACAGAAATGGTTTTAAATCAACATGTCTGGTCGCTTTATTCAACGCATGATATATTATCCTATCATACACATTTATTATACTTGGTAAGTTATACATTTTAAACGTTAATACAAAAGCTGTTCGTAGAACACAAGTACATAAATGCAGCTGATTGCTTCTCTATTAAACTATAACCGCGTATGTAAGTGACCTATTTAATATCAGTCTTTTTCCGTTAGATACCGGCGTAAGGCTCATTACTGGTGTATTAATATAAAGTACTAGAGTCCTGAAGATAAACAATAGCAGTGCGTCACAGTTCAGACAAAGTTTTAAGTGGTAAGTTTTTATGTATAATATTTTCGCTGGTGATTATTGAACTGTAAACTATTGTAAGTCGCGTATCTGTTATTATGAGGTAAAGCAGTAGAAATTAAATCTTAAAATAGAAACATTTTTATCAATCACGTTACCTAGAGTTTTCTGCGTTGACAAGCAGATTATTCTGTTAATATAACACCACGTGCAACCGGGCAGTAAGTTTCTTATTTAATTGCATACACTTTTTATGTACTTGTTTTGTTCTTGTAGATTTCAATTCATTTATTTATAGTAGTATTATCTCTATTGAATATTATATGTAGTTTATATAACAAGCATGTATTTATGGTATTCTAACACATGTTAAAAGTTGTCCAAAAAAGTATTATTATGAAATTTGAGAATAGAGAACTTCGGTTTTGATTTTGTTTATACGATTAAGTGTGTTGGTATGCTGCATGTGGTTCATTTTACATATAGATCTACCACAGCATTAAGTAATAAACGATTCCGTTCATTCAACAATATTTTAATTTCAAGGACGAAGGTAAGTTAACAACCACTATACTGCCTAAAACTTTCAATATTATACACGTTCTATTAACATATTGTTAACGTCAGTTGTGATGTCACTTTCCAGTCGTAAAAATTATTGTGTCGATGTCGTTGACCTGAAAAAGCTATTGTACACATTAAGACAGAAACAACACAGTTTTCAAAAGCTTCTTACTCAAGATTGGGATTATTACAGACATGTCATTAGAAATAAGTAAAATAATAAATTCACAGAATTCAAACAACAAATTTCACATACAATTTATTGATGAATTATATCTTTATTTTGATATATTGATATAAACGCTACGGAATTCCTATTATAACACGTGTGTCATGTTCTTTGTCGACAGCTGTACCATGCATGGTTAATCTCTCATTCTTTTGTTTTCAGATAAGTTAAATATTTGATTTAAAGACGACAAATCTACGACTTTAAAGGTAAAAGATAATTTAGTAAAAACAAAGAATTATATGCTTTCCACTCAGAAAGATAACAATTATCACTTAATTTTTTTTTAGAAGTTTTTTGCAAATTTCTTGATATAGATATATTGAAATAAAAGATGGTAAAATCAATTAAACATAGTAGAAAAAATTTAAAGATAGTAAAACAATATGAGCAAAAAAGGAAAAATTGTTTTTTTTTTTAAATTTGAATCGTAGAAAAATATGTGAAAGAGAGGCAAAAGATACCAAAGGGACATTCAAACTCATAAGTCGAAACTAAACTGACAACTGACAACGCCATGGGAAAAAAAGAAACAGACAAACAGGCAAACAACAGTACACAAAACCCAACATAGAAAACTAAAGACTGAGCAACACGAACCCAACCAAATACTGGGGTGATCTCAGGTTCTCCAGAAGAATACGGAGATCCTGTTCCATATGTGGCACCAGTCGAGTTGCTCATGTGCTCATGTAAATATGTTTTGACAGCTTTCCGTTGCTATTGGAAACCTTGCAGTTGATTAACCTTTTTTTTTATTTATTCCAGAAGACAAAAAGTATACGCAGTTCCCTGCAAACGTCTATAAGACGAAGAATACTTATTTGAAATATACATTAAGAATAAAAGCACCGCAACATAACTTTACATTCAAAGATCAGACTGGAAAAATACACAACTTGGCACACTTCTATTGGAAACTTCTTCTGGATGTTATAGTCGTAGAGATTTCAAATAAACTGTAAATTTAAAAACAGTCCCATAAGCATTTGACCAAAAAACATAGATTTCAAATCTACACAATGTTATCTTGATTTTAAGATTAAAACACATCTGAATTAATGTTCAAATGGAGTTACAATTGATAAATGAAGCACATTTGAAAAATGTACAGCTAGTGTTGAATTTATCTATATATCCAAAATAACAAGTTGTCGCTTTTATACTAGATTATCTTTTTTAGAGAGACGAGATAAAGACTGGTTGATGCTTCAGGTAATTAACATATATATAAAAAAACGATCATTATTTTCGACTTTGCCATTTTACAATAATAATTTAATTAAATATCAAAGTTTTTAACGTCGTGAGACATTACTTCAAAACAAGCTGCAATAATAAGTACAAGTAATTTGCACCGATCAAATTAATCCCTAAAAGAGCACTGTTTGGACAAAAGACCAATGAATCATGTGGTGAATAATAAATAAACTCATCTCATAGATCCCAGGATTAAAATTTTATATGCCAGACGCGCGTTCCGTCTACAAAAGACTCACCAGTGACGCTCGAATTAAAGAAGTTAAAAAGGCCAAATAAGGTACGAAATTGGAGAGCATTGAGGACCCAGATCTGCGTTCCTTACAGATCTCAGATCATACTTTGAAAGTAAATGTACAAACGTATGAGATAGGATAACCTGAGCGCCGTTTTGATTTACTAGAGATTATAGAATTCAAAAACAAGAAAAAAAACTGAAAAGATATCAAATAATTAACAAATGCTAACAACATCGTCTATATGCAACATTGTGTAATGCAAATTAACACAAACCAAACCGCCCTTTTGAATCGTTGGTATCATAACACTTGCCAATGGACAACATTATTTCCTAATGGACAGCCTATGAAAAACAATATGTCAAATGGGAGTCACATGGGAGTCACATGGGATGATAAATTGCATTAAAAAAAGAAGGATAGACATCACCATGCTCTAGAAAAGGGATGAAGACAGTTAAACTAAGAATTAAGTAATATGTGAAAAACAGAAGATCGAGCATTTGGAAACCTGTGAAAAACCTTGATGAACTCAAGTGCTCAGAAACCAAGGAATGATGAATACACTGCTTTTGAATAGTAAAAATCCTAGGGATTTCATTATTGAAAGTTGTTTAATTCTTATCGTTTGTTATTATTATTATTATTTCTCTATTAGTTTCTTCAATAACAGATTAATTTTAAAATAATATTTACACTATTGTAACATCGGTGAAAGACATTATTGGCAATCTTATCAGTCAAATTAGTACCTACATAATGTTATTATACTATACATCTGGTGGTGAGGAAGAGTAATCGATAAGTTTGAAAAAGTTTGGTACAAAAATAAAACAAAGCTTGTCCCGAATATTATTGAAATTTTCTGTTACTGAAACTCAATTGTGCACCATATATTTCCTATACGGGTGAAAAGGTGAAATCACAAATAACTCGATAAAATTATTAAGAAAAAAGAGTGCATGCCGAGGTTTACAATCTACGTTATCACTCTTTCTGTTATTGGTTATATGATTTATTACACTGGCTATTCAAATATTATTTTCCTTTTATTTATTTGTATGTTTTAACAGTTGTATTACTATCATTACGAAAGGTAACGTTCTTAAACTGTTGCCTGCTGAGTAATTTGTTGAGTAGAATTTACCCTTCTGTTAGTAAATTAAGAAAACAACTGTTATTTTAACATAACAAACATGTTAACCCTGTTTGTGTAGTTTGTAATACGAAAGAGGAGATTTTATATTATAGTTTACAACCGCCAGGGAGAAGACAAAAGGATGGTCATACATTGATTAATCAGGTATCTATTTGTTACAAAAATAACATTTGCAACGTTTAACAACCGGGTTTGTACTAACATGACCAACACGACGGGTGCCACATGTAGAGCAGGATCTGATTGCCTATCTAGAGCACCTGAGATCACCCCCAGTTTTTGGTGGGGTTCGTGTTGCTCAATATTTGGTTTTCTTTGTTGTTTGTCTGTTTGTCTTTTTCTTTTTTAGCCATGGCGTTGTCGGTTTGTTTTCGACTTATAAGTTTGAATGTCCCTTCGGTATCCTTCGCCTTTCTTTTAACAACAATATTGGTAGTTTACGTTAGTGTAGAAACTGTATAATGATAGTAAGCTTAATTATTTGGCGATAAAATGATTTTCATCCGGTCATAAATGGGCCTTTAAGAAGTGTCGGATGTAGATATACAATTAAGAATTGCCAAACGTTGCTGTCATATTAGTAAATCACACTATCTTAAGTAAATTTGTTTTTTTCACTTTGAAACACCGCATATTTAATACATTTCCCTTTTCCCGAATGTGACCTACCGAATTAGACTTATTACCGGGTTTGTACTAACATGAGCAACACGACTGGTGCCACATTTGGAGCAGGATCTGCTTACCCTTCCGGAGCACCTGAGATCACCCCCAGTTTTTGGTGGGGTTCGTGTTGCTCAGTCTTTAGTTTTCTATGTTGTGTTTTGTGTACTTTTGTTTGTCTGTTTGTCTTTTTCTTTTTTAGCCATGGCGTTGTCAGTTTATTTTCGACTTGTGAGTTTGAATGTCCCTTTGGTATCTTTCGCCTCTCTTTTAAACATTCGCAATTGTCATAAGATTTTGATTTCTTAGTATCGTAATACTATAGATAAAAATATCGAAGAATATGTTCGGTCAGTTGTCAATTCAGACAGGTCATCAATATAGAGAGGTATTCTAAATAGAAAAAAAAATCATTACAAAGATTTTGATGGTAATATAGTACGATGAGTTTTCGAATGGAGGTTGTTATTCAGACAAAATATATTTGTAATAAGATGACAATGAGGGAAAAAACGTCTTTTTCGTCTTTGAAAATGACAATAACAAACTAAACAGCTATCAAATACAATAAGTAAGCATTTAAAGAATAAACAATCAATATTGCCATAACAAAAACCTAAAGAAAGATATGTTATTCTCTATAAGTAACTGTGTTCCAATGTCATTTGCTTTTTGGCACAAACATAGTAATCGCTGTGTTCCAATGTCATTTTCTTTTTGGCAAAAACGTAGTAATCCTAGCATTGCTGATCTACTTGTAACTAATTTTTAGTGTTTGGCTTGTTTACAGTTTCACTGAAATTTACTCCCAGTTTATTTTTATTCATAGTCAAACATTGTTAATGTTGAAAGATACGGTCTTTAATCAAGCCAAAACAACATATATTGATGATATGTTATCCTGTTGCAGGAGCAATCGATTTTATTTCTTAATTAGAATGTAATAAAATGAAACAAAATATTAACATTGAATGAGGTATTAATCATGAAAATAATATATTGTACAACGAACAATCATTTATTTGTTAAATTGGAAGGGGAAATTCATAATAAACATGAGCTGAAATTACACAATAAGGGATTCATGTACATGTTGTAGCAGACAACAAACCGACCAAAGAGCAGAAAACAGCCCAAGGCCACCAATGGGTCTTCAACACAGCGAAAAAATCCAGCAACCAGAGGCGGGCTTCAACTAGCCCCTAAACAATAATGTATACTAGTTCAGCGAAAAATCTCCCTGGACACGGACTCCATTATATTGCATTAACATGTCTTTTTATCATATTTTTGAAACTGAAGTGAAACAGTAATATTTGATTAAAATACAATTATAATTCTAAACAGAAACTCCATAACCATCAACAGTTCACAACGTTGGAGATACTTAATATATGTGCTTTCACACTGAAATAAAGGATACCACAAAATCTGTTTAGTGTGCTTCATATGTTAATTAGCCTTCATCTAAAATGAACAATAAGGGTCGGTTGAGAATTAAACTTTTAAAACACTAGAAAGATGATTTTTCAGCTTTTCCATTGTAAACTTTCCATTTGTCTTCAGCTGCAGTAAAGCAGCGACTGCATATGGAGTATAACTCATCCAGTTGACATGATATTACGGTGCTTGAATATATTTCCACCCTATAGATTTACTGCTTACAAGAAATGTATTTAACTAAGGGTTCTAATTGGTGAAGTGGAAGTAGCTTCTTGGTAAATTTAAAGAACACCATCATGATATGGTTTGCCGTTAGGGAATATCAGTGTCACAGATTACACAAATATGTTCCACTTGTCGTAACGACAACCCCATTACCATTTCCTCGATCATGACATCTCCTAAATTTTACTTACTATGAGAAAGACGACATGTGCAACTAGTGGATCAAAATAATTCATTCTAAGTTCTTTTTTCACTATTTCTAAATGGTAATATTGTTGACATCATTCATTTTCAGACTACATCTGGAAATCGATTTCACTTTAAAAAGTGGTCTGTGTGCAAGCGTTTGACGCTATTTCAGAAAAGTAAACGCCCAATAGGTGTAATACCACCATTGATTTTCCCCTATTAGTCTTTGTTAAATTTGCACTTTTCAAAAAATTGTGCAGAATTTATCTTTGTTTCAAATAAAGAAATACTTGGCATGTGTAAAGTTTGATCCTGTCCAGTACTATAGAAAAAATTTCACATAACATTTCATTGCATATAAGAAAATAACCATCACTGGAAGTTAACCAATCAAATTTTCCCCCTTTTTTAACCTGTATACAAGCTTTAGTAACCATGTAACCTCAAGTTTCCAAAATATTCTATAGAAACCCCAAATAAAAAAATAATGGTGCTTTGAAATACCCAAGATATATGTTTATGACCCAGAAATGTTTTACTGCAATGAAATGTAGGATCAATTACCTACAACTGTCAAATTCAAGGGAATATTTTTTTTCGACCTATTTTCGTATGCAACCGGATGTGACGTACTATGATTTGGTGGTATTACACCTAAAGAAGACTTTTTTGTTAAATAAACTGAATGTGACTTTTTTCCTTTGTTATACTGGTTATTTCAAGCATTCCTGTCAAGTTTTGTCATAATCAGTTCAATAGTTTGAGAAAAATCTAGTATAATGTAAGACGACATCTGCAGCGATTCGAGCTAAATTTCTTCGAAAAATCCAAACCAAGCCGCATCATGATAGAATATAGTGTGGACCAATAAATGATCAAATATTTATCTCATCTGCCTACAAACAGTTGAATATGATACAAAAGATGACTTTAGGATGATAAATACTACCAATGGACCTCTTTGTCTTCCTTATAAGGTCTCTTTTGGTCCATTTATACCTCTCATTTCCTCAAAATTTCTACTTTATAGGCCAATAAATAAACATTTTGGGGTAACTTTCACTCATTTATGATAGAAATGTTATAATAAATGATTAATTGAAGTATTCAAGCTGAATGAACTATCCGTAAAAAAGTTTACTGTCTCCAAGGAGGTTTCAATAAGTCCTTACGTAAAACTTAAATTTACGCCGCGTTCCAGAGAGGGACATAAAAAGCTTCTCTTTTGGTGAATAATTTGTTGTTATTGCTTTAATAATAATTTCATTTACTAAAAACTATATATTTATTAAAGTATTTCTTAGGAAAAATTTTCTAGTATAGCAGAATATAAGAAAAAAGGAGAAAAAGCTCCCCAAAACTCTAAGTATGGCTTATTCTGTCAACTAATATTCATGGTAAAGTCCTATTTCAAGGAAATTTTCTCATAAAATGTGTTTTGGAGACTCAATCCACTCAGAATATTTCATTATTAGTAATATTTCACTTAAATAGCAAGAAATTTTAACACATGAGAGTACTCACAAAGTCAAAGGTGCATGTACAGCTTCCTATATTAGGTGTAATACCACCATTGATTTTCCCCTATTAGTCTTTGTTAAATTTGCACTTTTCAAAAAATTGTGCAGAATTTATCTTTGTTTCAAATAAAGAAATACTTGGCATGAGTAAAGTTTGATCCTGTCCAGTACTATAGAAAAAATTTCACATAACATTTCATTGCATATAAGAAAATAACCATCACTGGAAGTTAACCAATCAAATTTTCCCCCTTTTTTAACCTGTATACAAGCTTTAGTAACCATGTAACCTCAAGTTTCCAAAATATTCTATAGAAACCCCAAATAAAAAAATAATGGTGCTTTGAAATACCCAAGATATATGTTTATGACCCAGAAATGTTTTACTGCAATGAAATGTAGGATCAATTACCTACAACTGTCAAATTCAAGGGAATATTTTTTTTCGACCTATTTTCGTATGCAACCGGATGTGACGTACTATGATTTGGTGGTATTACACCAATATGGTCGGCACCTCTTTTAATTGAAAATGTATTATATAACTGTTCAAATGATAATCTTGCGTTCGCATGACACTTCAATATTAGGTAACTACCAATGTGTACTAAACACCAAGTTTCAATTACCATACATATGTCAATATTTAGCAACTATATTTTCAATCGAAGATAATACATAAATGATGAAAGGGACTGATATTCGGAGCATTGGGCGTTTTCAATTCCTTTGTTATTTGATTATATCAATAGATCTTATCATGAACTTCGTATTAAACACAAGTAAAGTGTATGTGTAATACAAACAAAGGCAATCATTTTTTATCATGCTTCCGTGAAGATATATATATATATATTCATCACGGTTGCACAAGCTTTGTCAATCTCCAAAAGAAGGCATTTGTTAAGTCATATAGTAAAAGCGTGTATAATATGGCTTTTCCAATATCGAACACCGTATCAAACCTCAATAACTATAAGTCCTCGAGCTCAGCTCTCGGAATTATATTGGTATCATAGTTTTTTACAGGTGTGATATTGAAAAATCCATATAATATTCTCTATTTATTCTGTTTTCATTATATTTTAGATTATCGAAGATAACAGATAACATGGGTAAGTTTTTATGTAATCATAAGTAAGTTTGAAAACAAATTCTTTGTTAAAGATTTAGATACTGATTAAGTCAGTACTTTTTTAAAAATCTGTTATTGCACAAAACTGCTAAACAAATAGCATAAATGATGTTATTTTTGTCGTATTCTAAAAGGTATATCTGAGAATTTTAACATTCAATCGAAATATCAATAATTTTTCTTTATTTAACATTTTAGTCTGAATTCAAAACGATAGCATTTTTCAAACTGTGCCAAAATACATCATGCAATCATTAAAATGTTATTAAAGGTGTGGGTCACGAAGTTTTTTTTCAAGGTACTGCCTTTGCAAATGAGTCAGACTTGGTAAGAACTACTTTCTAGATATTAAACAGAAAAACTAGGACCAACGCACTCGTTTTCTTGCTGCATAACAAAATCATTAAACTACACATTCCTTTATAAGAACAGTTTTAGGCTTTATCTTTCCTGCTACAACAAAGGTAGAATTTTGAATTGGTGAAAACATTTTCTTTCAATGTAAAATAGATGAATTTGTAGGATAAATTGTATTTTTTCCATTGAAATAAATTATATTTCTGCGTTTAATATTTTAATCTCAATTAAAATATAGACCGATAGCTTGCTACTAATTGCAATCAAAATTTAATTTATACTCCAAACAACTTTCAATGCGAATAAAACAAATTCCACAAAAATACAGTACCAGATTTGATCTTTTCAAACTAAATGAAATATAGGAGGATAGTAGTATTTCAAACTTGTACAAAAGATTTTAACCAACTGAAGTTAAATCAAAAACAAAGCTGTTGATATAAATATGACATAAATATGATGTTAATATGTAAAAATACAGTAACAGGTATATCTAAATATGTGAGTAGATCAAATTGTGTAAAGCTATATTATTGACGTATAAATACTGTTTAACATTTCATTAGACACAAAAAAAAAGCAAATTCAAACAAATAAACAAGGGCCAATGTCTAATATTAACATAAATAACAAAAAGCAAAGAAAACATAAATAACAAAAAGCAAAGAAAAAAAAACCCGAAAACGAATACTAAAAATCCATGTTTTTAAATAAGTCATTTGTTTATCAAAACACTTTTATTTGGAGGGGTATTGCCTATTGATTGTTTTGTTCTGTATTCCCTTTCATGTTAGCTAAATATATGCTTAAAATCGATTTTCACATCCAAAAACAAACATCGATTTTCATATCCAAACACAATATTTTTCTTTTATGTTATTGGAAATTTATAACAGATATAAATGACTTAACACAATTGTTATTCTCAACGTCATTTACAAGCCGGAAATTCGTCAATATATTGCACCAGGTTTCAATAGTACAAGGATGTATGTATTTCCTGTTTTGTATTGATACAAACGATACAAAACAATATTTTGTGTGTTTAAAATAGAGAAAACTTCTAATTTTGTCCTTTGACAAAAACCGTTTTGAATTTGTTGGCTTTTGTTCTTTTTGACATATGTGTTATGTAAGTTGTTTTTAAAAGATGTGTGTTTTCGTTTATCATTATAACATTGAGTCACATGAAAATAAATATATACGAAACTTGTACGTTTTTTTTATTGTATCATATGGCAATCCAAGAGATGCACATGAGTGTACCGCCCATTTTGGAGGGCCATGCGTTATCCAGTCTTTTTCTTATGTACTGTTTTGTTGAATGTCGTTTGCTTGTTCGTCTTCTTATGTCATGGTGTTTTCCTTTCTTTTTACCATGGTGTTTTCTTTAGTTTAACCATGGTGTTTTCATTGGTTTCACCATTGTGTTTTTCTTTGGATTTACCATGATGTTTTCTTTGGTTTAACCATGGTGTTTTCTTTTGGTTTTACGATGGTGTTTCTTGCTTGACATTAACGTATGCTTTCGATTGCAACATTGGTATCATTTATCGATCTCGTAGCGAAAAGGGTTTAATGACCTGGAGTCGCTCATGTATGTATTTGATGGAATATGAGCAAGCCTAAACAGGTAGCTATGGATCCTAAATGTGGATCATTTCATAGAGGAAAGTATTAAGTTCATTTCCTTTCTTTATCATTTTAACTGTCATGAAAGTTCCTATACGTAAAAATGAAGATGAACATTTGATGATTGTTATATAACGTATCAAAGAACATCACAATCAAACATGTAAACATTTAAGTACTACCCATATCTTAAAACTTGCTTATTGTATTCGATTGAAAAGATTGCATTGTAGTAGGAATAATAACGCGCGTAGAAGGCCTCATATTTTTACGATTTTTTTTTCGTTTTATTATGTCTTTAATTAATTGATAAAGTTACAAGAATCATAGATCAATGCATATGTTTTGTTGGCCAGTTTGTTACTGATAAAAGCTTTGAAAGATTACGTTTACAATGATAAGTGTTTAATATCTAATGGAAATACAAAAGTCGTACATAGTTTTAATTGATTTTAATGAACAAGCCTGCGTATTGTAGTATATACAACTAGAATCTTTTGGAACGAACTTAAGTTGAGCAAAATGAAGCAAAACTTGCCTTTCATATTGAAAGGTTTTGTTATTGAGAATAGTGTGCTGCTGCGAGATTTTCATTGTTTTTTTTCCAAAATGGGAAGTTGTCTTCCAAAGACATTTCAGAGCTTCTGACTAGCTGGTATATTATTTACGATTATTATTTTGTATATTAGTGGAATTTTTATGGTTTATTCATATCTTAAATACATGATTTATCAAATTTGGATATCTAAGCATCTTTCATGTTAGAATTAGTATAAGGACAAACCTTCTCCTTGCCGAATCGGAACCTCTTTTGTTAATCTGTGTTGTTAAATGTCACAAGTCAAAAAGGGCAAATCATAGGACTAATTTGACTATATGTTCATAATGCTTTATGACTGGTGATGATTAGATCACACAATTGTGATATATTACTACGGTATGCTTATTGCATCCACAGCCAAAGTAATCAGTCGGTGGACACATTGGAATATTAAATCTTTAAATCAATACTTAAGTATGGTTTGTAATAAATTTTGAGCCCTGCTGTCCATATGATGTTAGAGGGGGGAAATGTTTGAGTACGGACTCGAGAGATGGTAATACTACAAACTGGTATTTTGGACTAGGCAAGATAAAAAAAGATGTGTATAGTTCATTCTACATTACAATTTTCCATTATGAGGCTTTTGAAGTTTATGCAAATATTCGTTTCAGTTTCACTGGAAGGAAAACATATTTCCTGTTTCCATAATCAAACGGAAACGGATACTGTCATAAAATAAATAAATATCAAGATCTCCATTTGGGTGTTACCTGAACATTATTTGAAATGGAAGATTCGTTGAAGGTTTGTGGTGATGGGTCATGTATATTTATGTCGTGAGATAAAATATATTGCATAATATCTAATATTGTTCTGTTGTGAAAATAAGGTTGTATTTCTAGGAATTGTTTGCATCGTCATATATCACTTTACATTATATAACAGGAAGCAGATACAAATGTTTAGAAGTAGAACAACATATGACCAAAGATGAAAAGTTACATTATCATTGTACCCTTGATAGTTTTTATCAAATTGTAAGACTACTCATTAAACGTTGTGCGTTTTAGAGTCGCACATACTCTATATACTCATGTGTGTTGCTGAAGACTGAGTGTATATTATCCTCTAGATGTTTTGCTTCCCATGTCTCCTTAAATTCATTTAAAGCTATGATATTAAGTAACCTTCAAACTGTAACTTATATCACAATCATTTACAAAATATAGTGATTATAACATAGCGTTAAACAACACTGAAACAATAAAAGAAAGCAAATTGATACCAAAAACTTCCAAGTAGTATACTTCGGATAGTTATACATGTATATGAAGCAAATACAAGTTAGGATTTATCACAGAAAAAAAAACTAATTTCTCATTCTTTCCACTATTGGTCTAGATTTTGAGATTTGTGGTCAATGTCATGGAGACAAACCCCAAACATCCAGAGTTTATTTCTACTTTTATTTTTCAAATTGTCTACAAATCAATGAAACCGTAATATTAGATAGGTCTTAAAATGAAAGATAAAACACGTGAATCAAATTAACACCACACATTACAGTGAGGGACAAATAGAGGAGTGTTGATACATTTGTACGGAGTCTTTGTGTCTCTCTTTTATTTTATTTTTTTTCAATCATTTTATTGAACTATATAATTTCTTTTTAAATATCACAATAATTGACAACGTCAATGGCAATTAAAGAAGAATATTTGATTTGACTATATAGCGTACAAATACATTAGGATTATAGAACATATCATTTCATTGAATGGTCCGAAACAACAACAAAGGAATAAAACTAGAGCGAGGCAAGATATACCAGCTTGATAATCGATAAAAATCGGTTGATGATCATTTTCGTTATGTTAATGTGTTCCTGTGAAAATGACGTTATCCAGCACGCATCGTTCATGACAAAGGAAAAAGAAAAGGTGTAAGGAAAGAACCACTATGGGAAACTCTACAATCAACAAGCAAACAAAGGGCGATCTGGTGGAAAACAGTTGTTTAAAATAAGTAACGTATATAAAAATGTTTTAAATAAAGTAAAAGTAAATTAATTTTGTCCATCATGATTCATGTCCTTCTTATTACTGTGGTTTTTAGCACAACATTGGAAAACCTTTTTAGTATAGTCATGAAAAGACTTATTGTTTGGTATAACATTTGTACATTCTTGATTGGAGCTGTTTTATTGGATATCTATGAGTTTCTATTTGTAAAAGGTTTGGATCGCAATATAATGATTTTCTTCCACAGCATATCGAAATTGATAACGTCAGTACTAGTTTATTTACTCATCGTGTTACTACAGCAATAAAAAATCATTTCTTGATGTAACAAGCATCGTTCAATGTCATGTGCTATAAACATGCATTCTTGTATATCAGTGAATTATTTAATGGTAATTCCACTCAATCAAAACTATTGTGTTTTAC